TTTCTTTTTTTCTAAACGCTTTGTTTTCCGCTCCATTTCCAACTGAAAGGTGCTGTAGATTGCAAATGCAGTGAGGATATTCTATTCGCTTACTTTTAGACGTTTGTATTGCTCAGACCGATACACCAGAAGATACGTCAAGCCTTCTCCCGCCAGAGCCGTACATAATGCGATCGCGATGATCAGCAAGCAGTCGGATAACATCGACGCTTAAAAAGGGAGAAGTGGAAAATAGTACTAGCGGAAAATATGATGTTCACAAATACAGTATTAGCAATGATAAACAGATAGGTGGCATGAAACCCTTACAAACACAAGGTAGATATTCAATTGATTTTATATTTGAACATAGCCCAAGAAATCAAGTTTGCAACCGGAAAAGAAACAATCATAACAATAAAACAGAAATTTCAACAAGTCACAGAATGGAAGATCAACAACTTATAGGAAAAATTCTACATTCATTTCGATTGCACAGCATGGCAAAGTCAAGCCAAACGCAGTAATCACCTCTGGATGTAAAACGCCTGAAGTAAGGTAATATAAGCGAGAAGATATCTCCATATCAATTTAAGCAAATCAGATACTTGATAGACCTACCTAGAACACCTATCACAGCGTTGCCTGGACCAATTATGGAAGCGCATCGTCCAGGGAAGAATGTGGGATCTGAAAAATGTATGTTGAGGTGGATTTATTCCTTGATGTACACAAAACGTACTATCGCAGGCCCGGATAAAGTAACCAGAACCATCCTTAGCTGGATCTACATCTAGCAACCGCATCACTCTGTCGAGGAAGCCATGAACAATCTCAAAGCCGGCGGTCTTATTATAGTAAACGGCTGCCAGTCGTCGCTCGTTGCGAGCTCCTACATCTGAACGAAAACACATATGGATTTAGTGGATAGTGGAAATCTATGGATTCAGTATTGGTAGGAACAAACCGCGCAATTTCACTCACCAGATGTGGAGTCCTTCAATACAACATCTTGAAGCTCAAAAAGCTTGAGTGGCAATGGCATGTCACGATTCGAAGATATAGTTTTCATAAGCCCCGGCAAAAGTGATGAACGTGCTACCTAAAGTCTAAATTGCAATGGTATCCTAAATCGAAGAAGCAAACATACCTGAAATTCTAGCGTTTTCGGATTAGAGATGTGCAC